CATGTTGGAAACAAAAGGTATCCATGGAGAAACTGTGTTGGTATATGAATCGATGGCATCCCACCAATGACTGGCTCCCTGAAAGGTTTTACCTCTCATAAAAAGAGGAGATTCCTATGTACTCACAGCACTTTGTGCTCTTCCTGGAGAAGTACAGACATCAAGACATTTTTGGGGCTGCAACAAAAGAAATTCTGGATGATTACACAAAAAAGGCTAACCTCATCAAATACAGACCCCCCAAAAATCCATAAAATTTACACACATGGCAGATTTACATGGTTTTTGTTCCTTTTTGTACTGTTTAAAAAACTTCCTAGTTTCTTTTTTCAAATATTTATTTTATTTATTTGAAAGGCAGAATCACAGAGAGAGGGGGAGACAGAGAAAGAGAAAGGGCTTCCACCTGCTGGTGCACTCACCAGATGGCCGCGACAGCCACAGCTGTACCAGGCGGAAGCTAGGAGCCAGGGGCTTCTTCTGGGTCTCTCACGAGGGTACAGGGGCCCAAGCACTTGTGCCTTCCTTTACTACATTCCCAGGAGATTAGCAAAGAGGTGGTTCTGAAGTAGAGCAGCAGGGATTGATATGGGATGCTGGCATTGCAGACAGTGGCTCAACTGGCTACACTACAATGTCAGTCTCCTAGAGTTTTTTAAAAAATATTCTGAGTTAAAAGTGGCACATACAGATTTCATTTTCAGCCAAAAGGAAATAGTCGTTGTTCTTGCTCTATTTTTTTTTTTTTAATATTTATTTGAGACAGAAACAGATCTTCCATCTGCTGGTTTGCTCCCAAAATGGCTACAATGGCGGGAGCTGCGCTGATCCGAAGCCAGGAGCCAGGAGCTTCTTCTGGTTCTCCCACGTGGGTGAAGGTGCCCTTGGACCATTTTCCACTGCCTTCCTAGGCCATCAGCAGGCAGCTGGACCAGAAGTGGAGCAGCTGGAACTCAAACAAGCACCCATATGGGATGTTGGCGTCATAGGCAGAGACTTAACCTAGTATGTCAAAGCACTGGCCCCTCTATTTTTTCCTCTTACTGCTCAATCAACAAGAAAAAGAAAAACCTTGCTCCCACAGAGAAGTTGAAAGTACTGTAAGATGCTTAAATACTTTACTATGAATCGCAGAATATTCTTCCTTCCGGAAGTTCAGAACTTAAAGCAGGGCAGGTGAGTAAATTTCATCTTTTGTTTACAGTTAAAAACTCAAAAAGTTCTTCCACTTCTCCCAACATCTGATACTGAGGGGTAGGCAGGCCTTTGTTGGCAGTAGTTAGGTTATGTCACTGCTTAGGATGACTGCATCTCATATTGAAATGTCCAAGTCCAAGTCCTGGCTACAATCCTGATCCAGATTCCTAATGTGCACCTCAGCAAGCAACAGGTGATGGCTCAAGTACTTAGGTCCCTGACAGACCTGCACTGAGTTTCCAGCTCCCAGCTATAGCCTGGCACAGCCCCAGCAGTTATGAGCATTTGGGGAATGTATCAGCAGATAACAGCTCTATTTTAAGAGAGAATTTATGTTACATATATTTTACTAGTTTTAAAAACTATTGATATTTATTATTTTATTACCATGTCTACAACTTGTTTACCATTCTAGATTCCTGAGCCATGAAAATTGTTTCAATTGGATTGGCATTGTGGTTCAGCAGGTTAAGCTGCTGTCTGCAGTGTTGGCATCCCATGAGTACTGGTTCGAGTCCTAGCTGCTCCAGTTCTGATGCAACTCCCTGTTAATGTATCTGAAAAAGCAACGGAAGGTGGCCCAATTGCTTGGGCCCCTGCCATCCATATGAGAGACTCAGATGGAGGTCTTGACTCACAGCTTTGGCCAGCCTGGTCCAGCTCTGGCTGTTGTAGCCATCTGAAGAGTCAACCAGCAGATGAAGATCTCTCTTTGTGTCTCTCCTCTCCCGGTAACTCTGCCTTTCAATTAAAATAAATAAATCTTTTAAAAAATTATATTCAACTATTCCTCCAAATTACAAATACGATCTAGGCAGGAGTGGAGTACACTCGATCCACAGGTCATATATGGCTCATGAAATCATTTGGTCTGGCACTGCCAAGGCAGCCACAGGTGGGCCTTGAAATTCAGTAAGTCTACAGTGGGCTAATTTTTAACTTGATTATTTTGTATGGCCTGCAAATGATATGATAAATACCCAAATGGCACTTGGCAGAGAAAAGATTCCCACCCTGGTCTAGTAGATGGGAAATGGGACTTCTTCAAGCAAGAGTGTGTGACAAAAGTACAAAAAGGGGCCAGTATTGTGGCATAGCAGGTAAAGCCACTGCCTGCAACATCAGCATCCCATTTGGGCGCAGGTGCGAGACCCAGATACTCTACTTCTGATCCAGCACCCTGCTAATGTGCCTCGGAAAGAGGCAGAAGATGGCCCAAGTGCTTGGGCCCCTGCACCCACATGGGAGATCTGGAAGAAACCCCTGGCTTCAGCCTGGCCCAGTCCTGGTTGTTGTGGTCATTTGGGGGATGAACCAGTGGATGGAAGATCTCTTTCTCTCTCTTTGTCTTTTCCTCTATCTGTGTAACTCTGACTTTCAAATAAATAATCTTTTTTTTTTTTTTTTTTTTTGGACAGGCAGAGTGGACAGTGAGAGAGAGAGACAGAGAGAAAGGTCTTCCTTTGCCGTTGGTTCACCCTCCAATGGCCGCCGCGGCCGGCGCGCTGCGACTGGCACACTGCGCCAATCCGATGGCAGGAGCCAGGTGCTTCTGGTCTCCCATGGGGTGCAGGGCCCAAGCACTTGGGCCATCCTCCACTGCACTCCCAGGCCACAGCAGAGAGCGGGCCTGGAAGAGGGCAACTGGGACAGAATCCGGTGCCCCGACCGGGACTAGAACCGGGTGTGCTGGCGCCGCAAGGCAGAGGATTAGCCTAGTGAGCCGCGGCGCCAGCCAAATAAATAATCTTAAAAAAAAATGCAGAAAGAGAAGCAAGGGAATGGCGCTAGCTTGATAATAAAATTAATTATACAGAAAGCTTAATTGATGGAGTTTATTTGACTTGTTGCTAAAGGAAATGAAGGATTATTTTCAGTCCCAAGGATGGGTGTGGTATGAAGAAGCTGCTTTAGTAAGTTCAATATTGCATCATATGCAGTAGAGATGGGAGGAGGAAGTGAAGCCTGGAAGCATTTAGTTTAAGGCAACAAGGATACTCAGAATGGGACAGCATGTTGTGATGATTTCTTGTGGTTTTACTGGGTAATTTAGGATAAGACTAACAAAAGGTAACATGTGGCGGTGACAACTGAAGACCTGTAGTAAGTTGACAGCACAAAGCTACCTTAGAAAGAATGAACAGAAGCTGACTACTTTGCATAAGAGGCAGCAGCAAAGACTAGGGTGGGATGGTTACAGATGACAGGGTCGGAGAAGAGTGCTCAAATATGTAAGGATTAGGAACCAAGAATATGATGCTACCACTAGGACATATAGTGTACTGGAAAGAATAATTTGGAAAAAGGAAAGGGTAAAAGCAGGGATAAAGAAGGGCTGAGGGTTGTGAGAACTCAAGGTTCTAGCTTGCCCTTCTAACTAGCTGGGGAAGTTACTGCTCTTGTCTGAATGTCATTTCCTTACCTGCAAGGTAAAGAGGTTAAGTACCAGGGGATTTTGAAAGTCCTCTAGGAGATCAATGGTTTTGTCACACTGAGTTGGAGGTAACAGTGGAACACTAAATATATAATGAGAAAGACATACTGAATACAATGTTAAATGCCACAAAGCAAAATAGAGCATGGCAGTTATAACTAATTCCAGCACTGTCTGATGCACAGAATTTAAAGCACACATCAAATACTGTTCAAATACATCTATCAGATTCCATATTGATTGTTACGTGCTCCCTTCATAGGCTTATATTTTCCTTTTTTTTTTTACAGAGAGAAAAGAGAGAGAGACATAGAGAGGTCTTCCATCAGCTGGTTCACTGCCCAAATGGCCATAAAGGCCAGAGTTAGGCTGATCCGAAAGCCAGGAGTTTCTTCCAGGTCTCCCACGTAGGTCCAGGGACCTAAGGACTTGACCATCTTCCGCTGCTTTCCCAGGCTCATTAGCAGGGAGCTGGTTTAGGAGTGGAGCAGCCAGGACTCAAATCCCCCACCCACCCCAGTGCCCATGACAGGCTGGCACTGTAGGCTGCAGCTTATTCCCCCTACGCCACAACGCTGGCCCCCTATTTTAGTATTAATTCCCAGTATTTTTATAGTAAAGTTTTCAATGCTTTTTAATCTCATTAATAACCTTCTGAAATAGGTACCCATCTCCACTCTCTTTCAAAGACAACTGTTTCAAAGTATCAAGGTAAAATCCTAGAGGATTGCAGGGGAAACCTGACCGAAAATGGGAAGTCACCACCTTTAAGGGTTCTGCAGGATGTAGGGGCAGCTGATGGCAGATGCCAAGGGCTTCAGGAGAAAAGAGAAGAGGAACTTCCCGTGTAGACTAGTACACAGCCTGTCGGGGCTCAAAGTGTACTTGTCGAATGCGTGACCTGCTGAAAAAGATTAAAAGAGCTTAGTTTCGTTTCCAATAACAGCAGCTTTGAAAATACACAAACACATATTCTATTTCTCCCTTTCATTAAAAAAATTATGTGACAAAAGAACAGGCCCAGTTTAGCCTACAACGGAGCCGCTCAACTTTTTCGCTGGTCGTGATAGGCTCCGATGCAGCTAGATCCACCACCGGCAAAGAGCGGCTCAGAGCTATTTAAGGGTTGCGGCGACACTTTCTGGAGTTTGCAATAAACTGGTGGGTGAGGTTGAGGACCATTTCGAGCTGAGAAGCAACAGCGCCCCGCCCGCGGACCGCGACTACTGGAGCCATGGCGCCACAAACACTAACAACCGTAAACCCCAGCAGAAAGAACAGGCGGAGCCCTAACACCAACCTTCTCCCGGAGACACGCCCCCTGCTGCACTTCCGGAATGTTCTGGGGCAAAGGGCGCCGCTATTATACGTCACTTCCGCCGCGGTTCTTTCGGCAAATTTACCTCACTGTCGTAAAGGACAGGCTGGAAATTGGATATTACTATTACTTTTTCGGCACTGAAGGCTGTTTTGGGAAAGTGCTGGTGCCTCAGGATCTGTCAGTGAGCGGAGAAACCCGTTATTCGAGTTTCTGCCCCCTCCCTGCCCTTATAAAGCCCTAGCCGGTACGGTGGCCGAGAGTTGGGAGTGAGGCGGAAGTACCCAGCGGGTGGGTGTGCGCGCACCTCGGGAAGCAGGGGTGCACGTGGAGACGGTGAGTGGCCCTAGGAGCTGAAGGATCTGAGAATGTTGGACCTGGAGCTTAGCTGCGTGAGGGATGGAGAGAGGAAGGAAGGGAATGCAATGCGGCTTGAAGCCCTTGCTGCTGGGTAGGGGAGGTGGTAACCCAGGGGCGACAAGGATAACGTGTTGTCGGTCGGCGCTCTCAGGGCGGTGGGGAGATAGTCCTCACCCATCGGGTTGTCACTAGCAATCTGGTCATGGGCGAGGAGGCAGGGCTGCTATGGTTTTTGTCCCCTTCACTGTCTCAGATTGGTTAGAGGTATCCTCGGGGACCACACCGATCAGAAGGCACGAACCTTGTTTTTCGTTTTTCTTTTATACCAGGTAGGAGAGATCATGTCTTTTCGAGGAGGAGGTCGTGGAGGCTTTAACCGAGGCGGAGGCGGTGGCGGTTTCAACCGCGGGGGCAGCAGCAACAACAGCCATTTCCGAGGCGGCGGCGGCAATTTCAGAGGCGGCGGCCGAGGAGGATTTGGACGAGGGGGTGGCCGCGGGGGCTTTAACAAAGGCCAAGACCAAGGACCTCCAGAACGCGTAGTCAGTATGTCGGCTTCGAAGACTAACCTCATCGCGCGTGTGGGGCTGGGTTGTGGGTTCGTGGCACTGGCGGATTTGGGAGTGAGATGCTGACAAGTGGGGCCCGCAGCTCACGTAGGGAGGTTGCAGCTTGGTCCCGGAGGCAAGTCTGTGTGGAGAATTCTGTAACTGACTTAAAGAGTGTAGCATGTAGAGAGATCAGAAAGATGAGTTGCATTTAAATTGTGTCAACAGGTGTCGTTTGAGCTTGGACGGAAAGGGGTTCTATAAGCAGTATTGAGTGCTTATCCCTGTTTCCCCCCATTGTAACAGATGAGTAAACTGTGATTCAAAGCCAAGTCTCTCTGCTAGGATCATAAGGTTAGTGATAAGCGCAAAACAAGGAGGCTGACGTTGTGGCCCAGTTTATGAAGCCACCGTCCCATATTGGAGTTCCTGGGTTTGAACCTCACTTCTTCTGATCCAACTTCTGACTGATGCACATCCTGAGAGGCTTGGGTACTTGGGTCCCTGCCGTCCGTGTGGGTGATTGGGATGGAGTTTCTGACTGTCGGTTTGTAGGCATTTGGAGAATGAACCAGTTGATGCAAATCAATTTTTCCCTCTCTTTCCCTCCCCACCCTTCTCTCCCATCGCTCTGCCTCTCAAAAAAAAAAAAAAAAATGAGTAAAAGGTTTTTTTTTTTTAAGTCTGTTTACTCTAAAGCTCATATTTTCAACTGCCTTCCACTTACTTTTCAATTACTTTTCTACTCAAAAGTAAGGAAAAAAATTGCTTGAGAGGGAAACTACAGGAGGGGAAGTCAGGAAAAAGAACTATTTAGAGTAAGTTTGGAATCATTGTCAGTGAAGTCGGGTGGAAGACACATAAAGTAAGGAAGAGGTTTGGCAGTCGAAACCTACAACTTTGAACGGGAGATGGACGAACTCCTTAAGAATGGATTAGATCCATATGCGGGGTGGATTGAAGGGAAGAAATGGCTAGAGTAAGTGGTCTCAAAACAGGCTTCTGCAGGTGACAGGGAAAAAGGAAAGGGAGATAGGAAAGAAGTTTCAAGGGAAACAAGATCAGTGGAACTTGGCTAATGTTGGAAAGGGTTGCAGGTTTTGAGCTTCAATGGAAGGGCAGGACAGTTTGTTTTGCAGGCATGTTGACACGGTGACAGTCATTTAGAAATAAAGGTAGTTGCTTTGAGATTCCAAACTAACTTTAAAAAGATTTGGAGAAGGCTGGCGTTGTGGGGTACTGAAAACACCATTGCCTGCAATGCTAGCATCCCATAGGGCACCAGTTCTTATCCTGGCTGTTCCACTTCCTATCTGGTGCCCTGCTAATGCTCCTGGGAATTCAGTAGAAGGTGGTACAACTGCTTGGTCCCCTGCTACCCATGTGAGAGACCTGGATGGAGTTCTAGACTCCTGGCTTTGGCCCATTGAAGACATTTGGGGAGTAAACCAGCAGATGGAAGATTCATTCTCCTTCCCTCCTTCTTTCCCTCTCTCCCTCCCTCCCTCTCTCCTCTGCAACTCTTTCAAATAAATACATAAATCCTTTAAAAAAAAAAGATTTGGAATCATTGGTAAAGACATGGTAGGAATGGATAGGTTCTAAGAAGACAGAAGAAAAAGTCAAGAAAGAACAAAGGCTGATTCACACTTAGGAGCTGGGGAAAAGGAAGAACCAAGAGAATGATGCATGGTGTTTAGTCAGTATTACAATAAAATAATTGTTTTAGGTTGAGTGTTCTCAATATGCCAGGAAGTGTCTTGAGCCCTTGACATTTGTTATTCCACTTACTTATTATAAATTAACCATAGATATCTATTTATGTTATTAGCCATATATTAAAGATGAGGACACTGAAGCAAAAGAAGGTGAATATTTTCCCCCAGCTCACTTGGCTGGTGTATTGTGGAGTTGGTATTCCAACCCAGGAAGTCTACTTTTTTTTTTTTTTTAAACATAGTACTTATTTGAGTGGAGAGAAAGAGAGCTGCCATTCACCGGTTCACTTCTGAGATGCCTGCAATGTTGGGATTGGCTTGGCAAAAAAGAAACCAGAAACACAGCCCAGGTCTCTCACGTGGGTGGTAGGAACCCAGTTACTTGAGCCATTACAGCTGTACCCAGAGTGTGTATTAGTAGAAAGCTGGAGTTGAGGAGCTGGTGCCTGGAATCTGATATGGGACATAGTATCGTGACTGGCATCTTACCTGTAGGTTAAATGCGTATCCTCCATATACTTAAATAACTGCTCTTGTGCTTCATAGTAGAGCAGGTATGGTGAGATCCCAGGTAACCAAGCTTCCAGAAGTGGTTGGTTAATATCCTTTGAAATAATTGCATATTTTAAATAATTTCTCATCTTATTTCAGTATTGGGAGAGTTCCTGCATCCTTGTGAAGATGACATAGTGTGTAAATGTACCACAGATGAAAATAAGGTGCCTTATTTCAATGCTCCTGTTTATTTAGAGAACAAAGAACAGATTGGAAAAGTGGATGAAATATTTGGACAACTTAGAGATTTTGTATCCTTTTCTATTGGAAGACCTGGTAACCTCCTTGAGAAGTTATTTTTTTTCTGAGGCAATTAAATATAAATTAGACTTCTTGTTTTATTAAATTAGACACTATTGCAACAGATTGAAAATGAAAGATGATCAAGAGAGAATGTATTCATCTAAATATATTGGATTCATAGATCTGAGAAAGTTCACTTATATTTTGGAAAGTTCTAGAAATGATGTCCATTTGGGTAAGTGCTGTAAGATTGAATTGATTGTTTTGGATATGATGGTCTACTGGAATAGTATCATAGAATTGGAAGTTTGAGTTGTTATAAATTTCATTTTCTGTCGAAAACCTTTTTTGTATCTCTCTTATATGTGTCCATATATTCTAGCCTTGTTTTTAAATAAAACATGAATTCAGAAGGTTTGAAATCTCCTTTTATCGTAATTTACTATTTGTTCCTTAATAAAATTACTAGTATTTTTCAGTTAAATTGTCAGAAAATATGAAGGCATCTTCCTTTAAGAAGCTACAGAAGGTAAGGCAAGCTTCTGATACGTAGAATCCTTGGTTTACTCTAAGGTAACACTGTGCCTTAGGACAGTCCTAGGGGACCCTAACTCCCTCAGTATACCCTATGTGAAGCTTCAGTTGAGATGTTCTGTCTTATAAATGTGAGATTACTGACTTCTAAAAGTAATTGATACAGCCTTTTGGAAAATATTTCTTGCTCATATTAGCAAAATCTTTAACTGTTACAGTATTTTTTTAGTTTATCTGATAGTCTTACAGGAAAGTTTGTATGACCAAGCATTCTATGCAAGCTGTTAGATTATAAACTTACATGATTTGGGAGAATGTGGATACTAAATGATTTCTTAAGTATTTCAATTTATGATTTCTGGAGTGAGGGAAAAAGATGGGCTGCTGTAAGAATCGTTATAGTAGAAACAGGTTAAGCCTACAGACTTCCCTTGAAGAAATGATCTTGAAGCGGAAACTGGAGAGTTGATGAGGCATGATTCTCCCAACTCAGTGGTATCTGCAAGGAGCTTTTAGATGTCCTTTTAGGTCTCATTCCTGCAAATTTGACCCAGGAGCTCTTAGGAAGGACCCTGGATTCAATATAAAAAGAAAAGCTTTTGGATAATTTTGATGTAATTAGACAAGTTCTCAGGAGCCACGGGGGTAGTCAGAGAGGAGGAGGAAATGTATTCCAAGTAGAGAAGACAGCATGTGCAAAGTCACTGGGACATCAGGTGACCTGAAGGATTTTAAAAAGAGCTACAGCTTAGATGCAGAACATTTAGGATCAGTGGGAAGGTTGTAAATTCAGACTGATATGGTGAGGTAGGAAGGGGCCTGATTATTACTTAAGCCTTTATGTCATGGAAAAGAGTTTAGACTTTAGTTTTCACTTTTTTTTTTAAGATTTATTTATTTGAAAGGCAAAATTACAGAAAGAGAAGGAGAGAGAGAAATCTTCCATCTGCTGGTTCACTCTCCAAATGTGTATCATGGCCAGTCTCAAATTAGCTGGCATGCCAGTACTTTATTTTGTATTTTAATGCCATATTTTTAATAGTTTGGTTTTCTATGATAATTCTTTTGAGTGAAAATGTTAGTGCAGGGAGCATTATTCTAAAAATAAATGAGATTAGTCTTGGTTTCTTTATGTATACTTGCTGTGCTTCTTGTATGTCAAAGTATAAGTGCCTTATATGTATTACTTTTTTGATTTTCATAGAACCATGTGAAGTTGATGGTTTATTATCTTTATCTTACAGATAGGAAAACTAAGGTATTATCTTTATCTTACAGATAGGAAAACTAAGGTATTAAGAAATTAAGTTCTTGCCCAAGGCTACACAGTAAAAAGTCATAGGGTTGGGATTTGAATCTAAGCACTTTTGATTCTAGTGTATGGTTTTTAAATGGTTATTAAATTGTCACCCAAGTCATCACACTGATGGTTTCTGTCATACTTCAGTTTTATATAGACCCTTATAAGCTACTGCCACTGCAGAGGTTTTTGCCTCGACCTCCAGGTGAGAAAGGACCTCCGAGAGGTGGTGGCAGGGGAGCTCGAGGAGGAGGAAGAGGCGGAGGTGGCCGAGGCGGTGGCAGAGGCGGTAAGTTACTTGTCTGGGAAAATGCCTACTGAGATTTCCAAGTCAGCCAATTCACATGTAATAGTTTAATTTTTAGTCAACTGGTTCTTTTTAGTAAAATTATTTTCAAATATTCACAAATTACCCATAGTATTGATTCTTAGTTTGAACAAATAACTTAAATAGAAAAAGCCTAATAAAGTGCACTTATGAGGGATTTCAGCTCTTTGGGTTATTCATGTCTTATGCATTTTAGTAAAATATAAGATTATCTTACACTGAATTTTAGTTAGTTGGCTAATATTGAATGTCGATTGTATGCCAAGGGCTGGTCACTTTTTTTTTTTTTTTTTTTGACAGGTAGAGTTAAGACAGTGAGAGAGAGAGAAAGGTCTTCCTTCCGTTGATTCACCCCCCAAATGGCTACTATGCCGGCACTGCGCCTATCTGAAGCCAGGAGGCAGAAGCCTCTTCCTGGTCTTCCCACGCGGGTGCAGGGCCCAAGCACTTGGGCCATCCTCCACTGCCTTCCCATGCCACAGCAGAGAGCTGGACTGGCAGAGGAGCAACCAGGACAGAATCCAGCGCTCCGACTGGGACTAGAACCCAGGGTGCCGGCGCCACGGGCGGAGGATTAGTCTAGTGAGCCGCGGCACCGGCCCACATATTCTTTTAATACCCATATATATCTTAGTATTCAACAAAACCTTTCAAGATAGATGATACTCTTATTTTATGGAAGAGAAAATGGAAGTTTATGGAGTAAAGTTTGTCCTGTTCTGTTAGCTGGCAGACCCAGAGTTAAAATTGTCTTCTGATGTCAACAGTTATTACCAATAACTTCACAGTGGTTTCAGTCTTCATGCATGTGTTTCCCGAAAGCGTTGGTGCATTTGTCATTATGGAGCGCTAGGTGGTGAGCAGGGCTGCAGTCTTGGGTATGCTGAGATCTGGGAACACTTTCCAAAGTGGAAAAAGATAGGAATGAGCAGCTGGGCTTGGACAACTCTGCTACTGAGTTAATAGAAAGTGAACTCTGCACCTACCTTTGCATCTCTTAATTTAATAACAATTTCACTATAAGTGCTTGTTTGGGTAAATAGGTGGGAGACAATATCTCTAATTTTCTTCCTTCAATATTTTTTGGGAATACCCCCTTAAAGAAAAGATCCCCTCATTGTATGTTCAGTTTCATGTGTAACAATAAAAAAATTTCATAGCTAGTTTATTTTCTTAAACTTTATATTTTTATACCAGCATTTTGAAATTCTTCCTATAATCCAAGCGTTCTTTGTGAAGTTAGTGCCCAAAATAAACAAAAATGGAAACTGAAAAATAGGCAGCCAAATATGTGTAGATTAATAGGAAAATAAGTAATTTAAAAGTGTTAAGGCTCATGCACAGGTGAGCATCAGCTATGGCCTATACGCAGCTCAGTTAACCTTGAGTCATCCCATATCTGCCGTGACTTGTTTTTGGGGTAAAAGCCCTTAGTTTAATCAAACTGTACTTGATTCAATCAAAAAACTTTTCCCTGAACAGAAGTTGAGATAATCATGCATTTAACCATAGTACTAAATTATACTTTAGGGTAGCGAATTTTTCTAATTTGTTAAAATGGAATACTGTATGAAAGGTGGTAATCTGAGGTTTTAGCCTATTGACCAATTGGTAAATTACTGTAGTTTCTCCATTGTTATCTTTTAAAAATTTTTCTAAGACTGACTGTGTGAATCAATGTTCTTTATAAGTGTAGGAGTTTATTGATTTTTGTAGGCTTATTAGAATATGAGAGTTTGCAATTAATAAATATTTCCCTTTTCAGGTGGCTTTAGAGGTGGAAGAGGAGGTGGAGGTGGGGGCTTCAGAGGAGGAAGAGGGGGCGGTGGTTTCCGAGGTGAGAGTGAAAGCAATGTCTTTAAAGGGCTGAATGTTTAGAATTGTCTACCGTTTCATCTTTTTGTTTAAGTTTGTTCTCTGCCATCCACTATACAGAACACAGTGGTGTTCTTTGCTTTAGTATAGTTTCATTTTAATCACTCTGTTGCCTTCCCCTTTTAATTTTTTCACCTATGTCTAGCTTGTTTTTCCATATTGCTAGTTTGAAAAATAAAGCTGTATGATATGGATGACAGTTAAATTTGATAGAGTGCTTTACTAAACATTATAGGAACTAATGTTGATTTTAAATTTGAGATTCAAGACTATTTAAAAAATCATTTTCCATACCCCTAACACTTTAATTTTCTCTTAATCAGGAAGAGGACATTAGATGTATTGATGGACAGACTTCACCAGTTGAGTTCTGCATTAATCTGCATGATCTACTTCTTCTGTGGATTGGAAACTTGTTTTTCGAACAAGTCTTGAAGATATGGTCATTTGTGACATTACAACTAAGATGTCAGCTTCATGCAAAAATGAATGCAACAGAATAATCAGTTTTGCTCTAAAAGAGCAAGAAAAATGTTTCAATGTTTTGTACAGTGCCTGGCACTCTGTGGGTGCTTAATACATGGACAGGAGTTTTCATTTGAAACATTGAATTTTTAAAATAAAGCATTTTATTCCTTTTAGTTGTTTAGAGTGTGTTTATTAAGCCAAGCTGTCTCTTCGAAGTTGAGAGGAACAACTAAACCTTAAACCCAGTGTATTATAGACAGGAAAAGAAGATTTGTTTGAATACATTACAGGTATTTTTTAAAAATAGGTTTACTGGAGCAGTGCTTTAAGATTATTTACACACTACTATACCTTGCAGAATGTTTCTGTTTTGTATTTAAGAACATTTCTGGGGGCCGGTGTTGGAGCACAGCTGGTTAAAACTCTTCCTGTGGCACTGGCATCCCATAGGAGCACTGGTTCCGGTCCCAGCTGCTCCACTTCCCATCCAGCTCCCTGCTAATGTGGGTGGGAAAGCAGCAGAAGATGGCCCAAGTACTTTGGAAATCTGGATGGAATTCCAGGCTCATGGATTCAGCCTGGCACAGCACCAGCCATTGTGGCCATCTGGGGAGTGAACTAACTGATGGAAGATCTCTCCTTCCCTGACTCTCAATCTGACTGTAACTCTGCCATTCAGATAAATAAATAAATCCCTTTTTTAAGGAAAGGAACATTATTGTATTTTCTTTTGGGTTTTAGTACAGAAATCAGGAGTGCAATTTTACTAATTACAGTTGATAGTTGATTTTGAAATTTTATTGTAAATCTAAAGGTGAAATATAGTGAGAACTAAAAAACATTTCTGAAGAAAATTTTCTCATTCAAAACAGAGTATTGAAACTTTCACAGAATGTTCCTATTTTATTTTTTTAAAAGACAGAAATTTTTTTTTAAGATTTAATTATTTATTTGAAAAGCAGAAGCAGATAGAAATCTTCCATCTGCTGGTTCACTCCCCAAATGGCTGCTATGGCTGGTGTCCTGCGCCGATCCGAAGCCAGGAGCCAGGTGCTTCCTCCTGGTGTCCCAAGCAGGTTTAGGGGCCCAAGCACTTGGGCCATCTTCCACTGCCTTCCCGGGCCACAGCAGAGAGCTGGGCTGGAAGAGGAGCAACTGGGGCTAGAACCATATTGGATGCCGGCACCACAGGCAGAGTATTAACCAAGTGAGTCACAGCACAGGCCCCAACCCATAGATTTTTAAAGAGTTTATTACCTTGGGAGTTATGTTCAGTGCATTAGGATCATTTGAGAATATTTTGGTATTTTGGAATACTAATGAGATTCACTTCCGAGTATAGGTGCTCATCAGTATTACTTTACATTTATAAAAATGTGACTTGGCAGCTATAAGATCTGTGACAGATCAATCAGCCTGTTAAGTTGACTTTATATACAGGTGAGTTATCTTCGGTCCTTCCTGAAACTACTCAGTTACAATGTTAAGGTACATGAGTAAATATAGCCCTCTAGTGGTTCTCTTCTATGCTTACACCTGCAATAAGCATTTTTCTGAAATTTTTTACTGATTTTATTGAGAAGAATCAGATTTTAATGTTACATGGTATAAAGAATACAGAAAAAGGCATAGTAATGATACATTATCATTTTAATAAAGTGTTAACATTGTACACCATATGACAGTCCAGAGTATAATTGCCTGGAACTTTACAAGATGAATGAGTCCAGACACTTGGCTGTTAATGTATCATCAAATAATCACTCCTATATATATATCAACATGTGGGGTTAATTGAGGTAAATCTTAGAGACCTTGGTATATCCATACTATGAAATGTGTAGCTAGTAATATTATACTAATAAGTAAGGTTTATTGACCTGGAATTCATTAAGTGGATTTAAGAGAAAATAAGTTGCATAGTATCTCTCTCCTCTCTATGTATATGCATACATAATATGTATATTTCAACCATATATTGTTTAATTGCAGGAATGCACATTTCTACAGACATTTTTTTTTTTCTTCAAGATTAATTTTGGAGCCAGCAATGTGGCATAGCACGTAAAGCTACTGCTTGTAGTACCAGCATCCCATACAGGTGCCGGTTTGAGTTCCAGCTGGTCCACTTCTGATTCATCTCTGCTATGGCCTGGGAAAGCAATAGAAGATAGCCTAAGTGCTTGGGTCCCTTCACCCACATAGGAGACCCAGGAGAAGCTCCTGGCTCCTAGCTTCAGATCAGCCCAGCTCCAGCCATTGTGGCCATTTGGGGAGCGAACCAGCAGATGGAAGATCTCTCCCTCTCTAACTCTGCCTTGCAAAAAAAAAAAAAACTTTTAAACTTGGGCCATCTGCTGCATTCCCAGGCACATTAGCAGAGAGCTGGATCAGAAGTAGAGCAGCTGAAACTGGAACCGATGCTCATATGGGATGCTGGCACTTCAGGCAGCAGCTTAACCCACTACACCACAAAGCCAGCCCCTTCATGGACTTTTTGAAGACCACCCCAGCACAATCTCATTTTGTTTAGAAGAAGAAAGTAGGGAAAACATCATACACTCCTATGAATATATAAGCAAAGAAAAGTGTAAATAAAAGATTCACACCAAGCAATACTGACATCTTTAGGGAAGTGATATTTGAAGTACAGGGCAATATTGCTTCATTCAGGGTAGGCATTTAGCTTAGCAGGTAAAGCTGGGGGTTAACACCTGGCTCTGGCTTCCAGAGGGAAGCAGTCATGGCTCAATTAGTTGGGCTCCCACCACTACGAGGGAAACCTGAATTGCACCCCAGGCTTTGGCCTGGCCTGGCTCTGGGCCACTGGCAGGCTTTGAGAAATGAACCAGCAAGTAAGAGCTCACTCTGTCTCTCAAATTTATCTTTTTAAAGAGATTATTTCTTTCTCTAATTATTTAAGATGTTATGGAAAAAAAGAAACTGAAATGGAAAAACTCAAAGGGTCAGTAGAAATCAAAGGCCTTAATCTATTTCGTAGGAGTAAGGCTGGTCCTTGATTTCAGAAGCGATTTCCAGCAGAAAACAGTTATTTGCCGCACTGATCTGAGTTTGCTTATTGCTTAAATGGTATATGTGTGCTTGCTAATCTTCTTATCTAAAGACTAATGCCCAAATTGGTAAAAATGTGTGGAATTTGGTGTTTCTTTCTTTGTTGTGCCAATAAGCTTTCCCCTTGTTCTGGGAATTAAAATCCTTTCCTCTTTTGTCCAGTTAAATTTGTTAAGGGAAAGCCTCTATGAAATGGCCTTTCTTGGAGTTTTCTAAGTCGAAACAGTTGGTCCTGAAAAATCACTCTGCAGCATTTCATAAGATCATTCGTAATTATTGAAGGCTTCTTATGAAGACTGCGTCAGTGTCTTCATTACGAAATGCTAAGGAATAACTTAAGCAACAGTTCAGACTTTAAACATGAAGATGGCTCTGTCTTTTCCCAGACTGAACACAATATTGTGGCAACTTACTTGATTCTGGCAGGTATGACTTTTTACTCCATTAAGAGTCATTGTTTTCAGCATAATTCTATGGAAAGAGGATGTGTTGTCAAGTTCCATATTCTGGATCAGTCTTGACAAGTCATTTAGCCTGTCTGAGTTGGCTTCCTCACGTGGTAAGTGAAGATGACAGTATTATACTTCTGGCCTGGGAAGGTCAGATAAGACAAGAGAAGAAAGAATGAGGGAAAGCATTTATAATGGAGGTTAATGTCACAGGTCATTTTGAATTTTGATAATGTGAAAACAGTGAAGCAGACTGAGAAAAGTTTCTTGTAAAATGAATAGTTCTTAAATAAAAATTGTTCCTATATTTGGTTATTACATTGTCAAATTAGGTTTTTGGGAAAGGGAGAGAAAAAAGAGTGTACCATGAGGAATTATATTAATATATCCTTTACTTTTCTCATTCATCATTTGCATTATTTTGTTCAGGGTAGTAGAATCCAGCTACAGATTGAAAGAAAGTTAAAGAATGAATTTAAATTAATTAATGTTGGTTGATTAATTAATCTAAAGAATTAAATTAAATTGAAAAAAAAATTAAAGTCCTCAAAAGAGAGGCAGGTATGGTACTATCATTGAGGTCAGAGTTTGAAAATTCAGTTCATCCCAGAATGCTATATTGGAAAACTCTTGAGTATCTTTGTAACTGGGAGCAAATTCTTCCCCTTACTGTTCTTCCACGTTCCTGCCTGAAAAACAGAGATAAGAATAAACAAGCTATCTATGATTGCTGTGAGGAGGAAATTGAAACATGAATGTACCTAAATCACATATACAGTCGGTGTTGGACAAATACTTGTCTCTTCCCCCCAGGTACTCATACTCATCAGTGCAAATATTAGGCTAGGATACAGGCTTGTTTGCAGGGGGAAAAAAAATGTGGGGAAAGAGAGTAGAAATTCTTTTTTTTTTCTTTTTCAGTGTATTGGTTTAATTGTGGTGTAACTTTTACAGTGAGCAGGGGCTTAACTTTAATTTTATTCTCAGTATCAACTTTTAGAAGTGACTCTGTTATATTGGGCTCATTATTTTTTAGATTGACTTTTATGAAAGTTTTCAAACATCCGAAAATAAAAAGTGTAACAATTTCTCTGCAACCAGTTTATTCTTTATAAAAATAAGTCACAACTAGAGTATTATGTCTTGTACAAGAAATTGTGAATTCCTTAATTTTTGCAGTTTTAGTGACATGTTAGCTCATTCATTTGAATACTTCCCTGTGATAAGTACTGATCAAGTTCTATTTTCTCCTTTGCTTTGCTGATGCAAAAAATGAGAGAGTCTCACTGTCAATTTTTTAAAGATTTTATTTATTTATTTAAGAGGTAGAGTTACGGACTGAGAGGGAGAGACAGAGAAAAAGGTCTTCCATCTGCTGGTTCACTCCCCAAATGGCTGCAACGGCCAGACTTGGGCCAATCTGAAGCTAGGAGCCTGGAGCTTCCTTTAAGTCTCCCACACAGGTGCTTGGGCCATCTTCTACTGCTTTTCTGGGCTATAGCAGAGAGCTGGATTGGAAGAGGAATAGCCAGGACTGGAACTGGCACCCATATGGGATGCTGGCGCCACAGGCATAGGATTAACCTACTTCACCACAGTGCTGGCCCCTCACTGTCAATTATATGGAAATCCTTTGTATGTAAGTTTTTTACTTAGTTTTTGTAGATGCCAGGAAAAACTACCGTGATTTTCATCTGGTTACAAAAGGGGCATTTTTCTAAGAAATGGTTCTGTCTGGTTCTCATGCCTGTAATAGTGATGATAATAGTAATCTAATTATTAGTACTAATGCTATCTTTGAATCATTGTTATGTACTTAGCATTGTTATGTACATAGGTTAATTTATCCTAATTCAGTAAATTACTTTTTAGCTTTATTGTCCCTGTTTATAGAGATGAAAAGTTTAAGAAATTTTCCCTATGTACATCTACTGAGTAGCTACACTAGGATTTGATTCTAGCCACTTTGGTTCTACAGCCCTCATGCATAACTCCAAGGGTCAGTTTTATCAAGGAATGCCATGAGTATGCGTTGTTTACTTGCTTATGTTTTTGGTAGATGTATTAAAGGAAGCATGTTTAACCTCTCATGCTTCTGTTCTGCAGTGAAAGCATTTATTTTACCTACTAATTTTTAAAAAAGGATTAATTTATTTGAAAGATAGAGTTACAGAGAGAAAAGGAGAGAGAGATCTTCCATCTGATGGTTTACTCCCTGAATGGCTGCAACAGCAGGGGCTGGGCCAGCCTGAAACCAGGAGCCAGGAGCTTCATCCTTGTCTCCCATAATGGTGCTGGGGCCCAGGCACTTGCATCATTTTCTGTTGCTTTCCTGGGCACGTTAGCAGGGAGCCAGATTGGAAGTGGAGCAGCCAGGACTGAAATGGTGCCCATATGGGATGCTGGTGCCACAGGCTGTGGCTTAACCTGCTGAGCCATAGCTCTGACTCCTCACTTATTAATTTTATCAAGACCATATTTAGATTTTTTCATTTTAGATTTAATCTCTCATGTAGGTTTTAGCTCCAGTAAATGTTTACCAATGTCTAGTGCAACAGACATTGATCGAGTGAGTATCCTTGATCACTCACTCCAGTTAAGGCTGGGAGGTGGAAGGGCAGGTGAATTTAAGGATCTAAAATAATTGATTATGGATGAATTCTAATCAGATGCAGGATGAGAGACAGGCTGATGAAGAGGGCTGAGTGCCAGGCGATGAAGAACCATGTTAGCCATAAAGGTGACAGGGAGTCATTGACAGGTTCTGAACAGAGGAATGACATGATCTGAGCCGCGTTTTACAGATGTGCTCTCAGGGCAGCTCATGGACCACGTGGGAGGCCATGGTAGTGATTCTGAAGAGAGGATAATGGCAGTGAGACAGAAAGAAGTGGACTCTCTTGAGTTAGAAGGTAGAATTGATGACCAGATGTGGGGGTTTTGGGAGAAGGACAGGGGAGATAACTCCATTCCTGCTTGGTGCACAAACCTCTCCTACTGCCTAGGAATCTTCCCACTCAACTGAAATTTATTCACAGCCCTCTCTCCCCTCCTCCACCCTCACACACATTGTTGGGATCTAGTGCAGCTCTTGTCTGGCTTATGAGAAACACATACCTGCTTTGCAGCCTAGGGGATGCTGATCAGACTGACATCCAGTTCACTAAATGCCATTTCTCTTTGTAAATCAATTCCTTGGCATTCTGCTTACTAAGAGTAGTCATCAATACACCTGAGTCCAGTCATCCCCTAGGGCACCGACAACATTGAATTTCCGGATCTACAAAGTAGAGAGTCTGATCTCAGATCGTAGAAACTTGATGAGGGGGTATCACCTGTGAGGTTTTTCCATGGGCTACAAAACTTGCTTGACTTCCTATCTAGATAATGACTCCATAGGGATGTTTGCATCGAAGAATTCATATTTGGAAATACTGAGTAAATAGTTTAAAGAAATATTAAAACAATCATTTGATCCTACACATGGCAGGCAGATGCTTGTAAGCATTTAATGGCAATTACTTGAATAAAAGGAGAAAATGTGAAACAAGTGTGTGTCAGGGTTAGCAACATTGACTGAAGTGCCGTTGGGGTAGAATGTTGGTTGGGGCTTCAGAAAGGAAAGAAGAAAAGAGAAAGAAGAGTCTCAGCCCTCAGGAAGGAGGAAGAGGAGATTAAGCTGCCAAACAAGAGCATGTGGTCAGTAGTACATGCATCCGAGCAATTAGCAGTGCAGGGGTCATAAAAGTCGAGGGAAGAATTTCAGGGGCAGAGTGATCAGAAATGATGACACCGACCTTCAGTGCAGGCTTATGCAGTTGGAAGCTTCCTGGTGTTTTAATTTTTTTTATTTCTACTTTACTGAAGGGCCATTAAGATGTTACAGTTTAAAGCCAACTGTTCAAATAATTGACTAAAGTAGATACGCTGGAGCCAGCATTGGGGTGCTGTTGGTGACACTAGCATTACATAATCGAGTGCCACCGTTAGAATCCAGGCCGCTCTGCTACTGATCCAGCTTCCTGCTAAGACTCCTGGGAATGGCTCAAGTATTTGGGTCTCTGCCACCCATGTGGGAGTCCCGGATGAAATTTCTGGCTCCTGGCTTTGGCCTGGCCCTGATCTGGCTGTTGCAGCCATTTGGAGAGTGAACCAAAGGATGGCACGTCTCTCTGTCTCTCTGCCATTCAAATAAATAAATAAGCTTTAAAATACAATAAAATACATTTGCCATGTTTTTCAACTGGCTTAAATATTTATTTTTGATTCTACTCTTAAACATTCCAATTAAATAACATGCATAATATTTTTGTATGTTCTCAGGTATGATAAGTATTCTCAGCAACCTAATAGTTCTAGGCATCTTCATTAAGTACAAGGAACTCCGAACACCCACGAATGCAATTATTATTAATCTGGCTTTTACGGACATAGGTGTCAGCAGCATTGGCTATCCCATGTCTGCTGCTTCAGATCTGCATGGAAGTTGGAAGTTTGGATATGCAGGCTGTCAGGTACTGTGGAATGAAAGCAAAATACAGTAGGTCAAGGAGATTATAAATGTCTTTAAAAATTCCAAAAATTTAAACCAAAGAAAATATTGTAAGATAAAAGAAATGGTGATTTTCTAAGAAAAAAGGTGACCAGGAATTCAGAACCAACTGGGAATATATTCTTTAACAAGAGAAGCAAAATCATTAACCCTTATTATATTTCTGAAATTCCTCCAATCCGAACTAATAAAACAACTAGCATTCAACTAGGGAAAAAAAGTTTGTGTGTTCAAATGAAAATTTGCATATTGCAAATTCAAAAAGAAATGCCTTGCTTTCATTTGAAATAATAAAATACTTAGTGACTTATTCATACCAGCTAAAAAATATAGTTAGGCTACCAGGCTGTTGATTGTTTTCTCCTGGAAAAAGCCTTGCATGAGAGGGCAATAGCAACAGCAGTAAATATGTTATTAAATATATTTACTGTATTTTTACTGACAAGGAAATTAATGAATATTAATTTGCTTTAGGATAGTTGGAAAAAATGGGTTTTGGTTTGATTTTCTTTTAAAGATCTATTTATTTATTTGAAAGGCAGAGTTACAGAAAACCAGAGGCAGAGAGAGAGAGAGAGAGAGGAGTCTTGCATCTGCTAGTTCACTCCTCAGGTGGCTGCAATGGCCAGAGCTGTCTGAGCTCCAAAGCCAGGAACCAGGAGCTTCTTCCAGATCTCCCACATGGGTGCAGGGGCCCAAGGACTTGGGTTACCTTCTACTGCTTTCCCAGGCCTTCGCAGAGAGCTGGATCGGAAGAGGAGCAGCTGGGACTCAAAACGATGCCCATATGGGATGCTGGCACTGCAGGCAGCAGCTTTGCCTGCTATATCACAGTGCTGGCCCCCAGGTTTTCTTTTTAAAGATATAAAATTTCACTGCTGAAGGCCATTGCATCCCATCTCGCCTTATCCCCTTCCTTCCCATGAATATTTTCCTATTTTATTATGTATACATATACATCAACAAAAAATATCTGAATGCTTTAATTTTTGTGTTAATTATATAATTTTTATACAATTCACTTTCATTGTTAGATAGGTTTCTGAGGTTTATTCATGTTGATGAATGTGACTGTAAGGCATTCATTTTGATTGCAATATGATATACCATTTTATGAACATAGCTCAATGTACTTTTCTATTTTACTATTATTGAACATTTGTTCCTAATTTTTACTTCACAATATACTGATATATGCTGCAATAAATGAGAGTTTCTGTAGGCATGTTTAGAGTTGAGTTGCAAAGACTGTTCAGCTTTATCGTATGTGGCCTAATTGCTCTCCAAAATGATTTTTCCTGTTATGAGCACTACTATTACTCTACATTCTTCCCATCACTTAAGATTGTCAGACTTTTAAATTCTTATCATTTTAGTGAGTATGAAAAGATATTCTATAATTTATATTTATTTGGATACTTTCTTTGGTTACACATATTTTCCTGTGCCATGAACATAGTTAATGAAAATAGCCTGTGTGAACAGCTCAGTCATCATGTGGCCACTTTTTTACTGAGCTTGTTTTTTCCTCTGTTGAACTACCTATCTTCTGAATACTAATTTTTATTGTTTATATGCACCGCACCCCATGTAATGATCTATTTTGCACCTGAGTAGGTTGTATAGAAGTTCCATCTTAAGTCTTATAAAATATTTAACTATTGAAAACCCTTTTCATAAATGCCTTTAGTTAGGCAGTTGTAATTTGACAGTGGAAGGTATATTTTGAAATAGTAAAATAAAAAACATTTAATATATTTGAAATATATTCTATCTACAGGACAAAAATTTAAATGTTAGTTGGGAGGGTATTTAGAATGGTGGATTTATCCCAATTTTCATTTTCAGATTTATGCTGGATTGAATATTTTTTTTGGAATGGCAAGTATTGGGTTACTCACAGTCGTGGCCATGGATCGATACTTGACCATCTGTCATCCTGACGTAGGTACAGCATTTTTCTTGGCGTTCTCATTTCTTGACCAATGGCCACTCAATATACATTCACTTTAAAATGTACACATAATGATTTGTAGTCAGGGCTGGTCACATTTCTTTGGCATTCCTTGTTTACAACTTTCAGTGGCTTCTTATTACAGTAAAACCCAGATTTCACTAGGCACCTGCAGTATGCTGCAAGATCTGGAGACTGACAACCTTTTCCAGGATGGCTAGGGCCACTCTCTCTATGTTCTCACTTTGGGGTCTTTGGACACTGTGGTTTCCTAGGCCTGGAAAGCTCTACTCCCAGCTCATTCTCTGACTGGTCCTTTTATTATTTGGGTTTCAACTTACTTGCCATTTTCTTTCCCATATATGAATTCATGTGGCTAGGCTTTGAGTGAACAAAAATGTCTATTAATGATCTACTTGATAATTTCGCATCATCAATTAAAACAAAGCAAGTCCATCATTGGCAAATGATGTTAATAGTTCATATGCTTGTTAATAGGGAGAAGAATGACCACTCGCACCTACCTTGGCTTGATTCTGGGAGCCTGGGTCAACGGCCTGTTTTGGGCTTTGATGCCCATCGCAGGGTGGGCTAGTTATGCCCCAGATCCTACTGGGGCCACCTGTACCATCAATTGGCGGAAAAATGACACGTAAGAGAAACATTTACACTTTATAACCAAGCGCTTCTAAGGTAGACATTTTCTCATCCTTTCAAATTTAAGCTCAGATTACAGGTTTCTCATACAGCATGTGGCAAAGTGCTTCCTTGCTAATGAAGTGATTCAAGCAGAAAATGAAATTGAGAAAAGAGAATTATACTTGTTTGCCAGCAAAGATAATCTAGACTCCTTCTCCCCCGTACTCTGTCCTTTCCTTCTTCTCTTCTATGGGTTTATGTGCCAATCTCCTTTCCAATATTTGCATATCACAGAGGTAGGATCATGAGTAGGAGAAGGGTCAGTGAAGGTAGGCAGCATGAAGCTCTCATGGAAACTCAGGGCACCTCTGTAGTACGCTTTCAAAATAATCTCTCATTCAAACATATTCTGAGACCATGCATCAAAATACAGTCACTGCAAGGACTTGCTTGCTTCTTCATGAGGCTCCTCTACACTTAGCAGGGGAAAGAGGATAGTTTAGTTCATTAAAGGAAACAAGAGATGACTCATTTAGAAAATAGAAATAGAAAAGAAAATTTCTAAGTCTCAAACTAAATTAAAATCTGAAACTTATTCTGTGAAGAGCCCAAGGATAATCAATGTAGGCTTCATGAGCCAGAGTCTGTTTTCAACTTGGCATTGTACTGTGAAAGCCATCATAGACAGCAGGTAAATTAATGTGCATGGCTGTGTTCCAATAAAACTTCATTTGCTTCTTAAAGATTTATGTATTTATCTGAAAGTCAGAGTTACATAGTAAAAGGGAGAGATAGGGAGACACACACACACACACACACACACACACACAGAGAGAGAGAGAGAGAGAGAGAGAGAGAATCTTCTCATCTGCTGGCTCACTCCCCAGATGGCTGCAATGGCCAGGGCCAGGCCAGAACAAAGCCAGGATCCAGGAGTTTCTTCCTGGTCTCCCATGTGAATGTAGGGGCCCACATACTAGGGCCATTTTCCACTGTTTTCCCAGACATATTAGCAGGGAGCTGGATCAGAAGTGGAGTAGCTGGGACTTTGGTGCTCATATGGATGTCAGTGACACAGACTACAGATTTACCTACTACACAACAATACCAGCCCCTAAAATTTTATTTTTTTAAAGATTTATTTACTTATTTGAAAGTCAGAGTTACACAGAGAGAGGAGAGGCAGAGAGAGACAGAGGTCTCCCATCTGATGGTTCACTCCCCAATTGGCTGCAATGACTGGAGCTGCGTTGATCTAAAGCTTCTTCTGGGCCTCCCACACAGGTGCAGGGGCCCAAGGACTTGGGCCATCTTCTACTGCTTTCCCAGGCCATAGCAGAGAGCTGGATCAGAAGTGGAGCAGCCGGGTCTCGAACTGACGCCCACATGGGATGCTGATGCTTCAGGCCAGGGCGTTAACCCACTGTGCCACAGTGCTGCCCCCCTAAAACTTTATTTTTAATGATAGGTGGCAGACTGGAATTTGCCCAACCTTGAGAAGCTTCATCCCATATCCAAATGCCTAATTTGAATCTCAGCTACTTGGCTCTGATCCAGCTTCCTGCTAATGCACATCCTGGGAGGCAGCAGATAAAGGCTCAAGTAGTTGAGCTGTTGCCACCCACGTGGGAGACCCCGATGGCATTCTGGACTGCTGGCTTCAGCTTGGTGCAGCCCCAGATGCTATCTATAGGCTTTTAGGGAGTGAACCAGTGGACCAGCAGATGGGAGATATTTCTCTCTCTGTCTCTTTGTTGCTCTGCTTCTGAAAAAATAAACATTAAAATTAAAATCATGAACTAAAAGTCAAATACGCTGTGTAAGCTATTTAACAATATAATGACTGCTAGTGTGGTTTCTAATAATTATCTTTTCCCTTCCCTCCCCCCATTTAGAACTTTAAATAAGTAGTCATGATTGCCTTTTCTTATTTGCAGATCTTTTGTATCTTTCACAATGGCAGTTATTGCAATAAATTTTGTCGTGCCCTTGACAGTGATGTTTTACTGCTATTACCACGTCACTCAGTCCATTAAACAACATAGGGCCAGTGACTGCACTGAGTACCTCAACAGAGACTGGTCAGACCAGGTAGATGTAACAAAGGTAAGAAGCCAAAACCCCTGGGAGATGTTTTGGAAGGAGTCCTTGGCTCACCAAGGTCTCTTCTCCCAAATCCCTGATTGTCTCTCCCCAGCAGGGTCTTCTGGTGTTTGCCTCTACAGTTCTGAATGGGGTGCTTATCTGCCCTTTTAGATGTTTCTGTTTGCTCTCACCTCTCAATGAGTCCCTGTTGTGGTTGATGAGAATTTATTTCTCTTATGCCACCAACTGGCCCCACTGCTCCCTCACTTCTTCCTTTCTGCACATCCTGTCATTGTAATGTTAACATTCTGTCCTTAGTTGTTTTTTTGTTTGTTTGTTTTTTTGTTTTGTTTTTGAAAGGCAGACTGGACAGTGAGAGAGAGAGAGAGACAGACAGACAGACAGAAAGAAAGGTCTTCCTTTTTCTGTTGGTTCACCCCCCAATGGCTGCTACGGCTGGCACTCTGTGACTGGGCGCACCGCGCTGATCTGAAGCCAGGAGCCAGGTGCTTCTCCTGGTCTCCCATGGGTGCAGGCCCCAAGCACTTGGTCCATCCTCCACTCCCCTCCCGGGCCATAGCAGAGAGCTGGCCTGGAAGAGGGGCAACTGGGACAGAATCCGGCGCCCCGACCAGGACTAGAACCTGGTGTGCCGGTGCCACAGGCGGAGGATTAGCCTAGTGAGCCGCAGCGCCGGCCGGAGTACACTCTTTAGTAGATCCCTGAGGCCACCAGGAGATGTGCTTTTTAGGACTATGTATGACTGAAAATATCTTAATTCTACTGTCATCTCAGACTGATGATTTGCCTGGTTTAGAATTCTGAGTACAAAAGCAATTCTGAAAGAAATGTGAAGGGATTCTTTGTGGTCTCCTCGCTCCCAGCACTGCCACAGCAGAGGCTGACAGCATCCTGGTGAGTGAGCCTTTGCAGTGACCCGTATGTTCTCTCTGGAGGCTTAGAGGAACTTCTCTGTGTCTCCGGTTTTCTGAAATTTCATAAGGATGTGCCTTGGGATAGGTCTTTATTCAACCAGGCTAGGTGCCTGGTGAGCGCTTTGAACATGGAGCCTCTGGTTTTCCCCTTCTGGAAGAGTGTGTTACCCTGTTTCTCTGGTGAGTCTTGCCTCTCTGTTCCCTTTTCCTGAACTTCCTTTTATGTGGATATTTAATTGTCTGGCTTTATCTTCTTTCTCTTCTATAAAGTCTCACACTTATTTTTAAATTTATCTGAAAGGCAGGGGGAGAGAGGGTGAGGGAGAGCGAGCTCATCCATTGCTTCACTCCCCATATGCCTGCAAAAACCAGGGCTGAGCCAGGCTGAAGCCAGCAGCCTGGAACTCAATTCAGATCTTGCATGTGGGTGATGAAGACCAAGCTACTTGGGCCATCACCTGCTGCCTCTCAAGGTGTGCATTAGCAGGAAGCTGGAATTGGGAGCAGAGCCAGGACTCAAACCCAGGCACTCCAATGTGGGTTGCAGGTGTACAAGCATTGTTTTAATGCTAGGCCAAAAGCTCCACACCCTGTCTCATGTTTTGTGGTTGTTATTTGTTTGTCTCTTTTTGTTTCTAATTTCTGGGAGATTTCCCCAGTCGTATCCAGGCTGAGAACTAGATAGTGAGATATAGATAGTGAGCCATAGTGAGCCGTAGCATTGGACACAAAAAATTTAAGTAAGCACTAAAAACTCAGTAATTAAAACAAAGCTAAACTAAAAAAAGTAGTTTAGTGAAGAAATTTAGGGATTTGTTTATTTATTTGAGAGTCATAGTTACAGAGAGAGAGAGAGAGAGAGAAAGGTCTTCCATCCTCTGGTTCACTCCTCAAATGGTCACAACAGCTGGAGCTGAGCCGATCCGAAGCCAGGAGCCAGGAGCTTCTTCCGGGTCTCCCACGCGGGTGCAGGGGCCCAAGCACTTGGGCCATCTTCCACTGCTTTACCAGGCTATCAGCAGAGAGCTGGATGGGAAGAGGAGCAGGCAGGACTCAAACCTGTGCCCATGTGGGATGCTAGCACTGCAGGTGGATGCTTAACCTACTATAGCACAGCTCTGGCCCCAGTGTAGAAATTTTTAAAAATCAAAATTAGAGGCTGGCATTGTGGCATAGCAGGTTAAGCCTCTGTCTGCAAAGCCAGCATCCCATATTTGTGCCAGGTCACGTCCCAGCTGCTCCACTTCTGAGGCTCCAGCTCTCTGCTAATGTGCCTGCGAAAGCAGTGGAAGATGACCCAAGTGATTGGGCCCCTGCACCCGCAAGGGAAACTCTGTCTCTCTTTGTCTCTCTCTTTTCCTCTCTCTCTCTATAACACTACCTTTCAAATAAATAAGTCTTTTCAAAAAAATCAAAATTAACATTAAAGAACTGCATAGAAAAAAATGTAAAATTTTAAATACAGACAGGATCAGACTGCCTCTATGTAATATAAATTCAGGTCAAAAGGTTTGTGTTGGAATTCATCAAACTCAAGATAAGATTTACTGGTTTCTAAGTTGAGTTTCAAAAGTTATAAATAATTAAATATATATATATATTTAATTAGCACACAATCACAGTGAATGGGGAGAAAAGCAGTGCCAGCAATTCATAGCATAATCACTGTGAATGGGTGGGGTGAGTTCTCATCTGTCTTTCATCAAAGTTAGTTTTTGTGGTGTTTCTTAGAAAAAAAGAGGCATTCCTTATGAGTGTTAACATTCTCAAAGGCAGTGTCATTTATTAACTGACACACCCACTGCACCAGCTCTTATTATCATAGATAAGTTCAGGTCCCTAAACAAAGAACATTGAAGACAAAAGCTCAACTGTTTTCTTCTTGTCATCAACAGCTAGACTTATTCAGATTCCAATACTGATAGATTTTTGTGCTATTTTAGATATGGCAGTATTTTTTAGTGGATTAGATTTGGATTTTGACTTTGGCAGATACTTTTTTTTTTTTTTTTTAAACAGATGTCTGTGATAATGATCTTCATGTTTTTGGTGGCATGGTCTCCTTATTCCATCGTGTGCTTATGGGCTTCATTTGGTGATCCAAAGAAGATTCCTCCCGCAATGGCCATCATAGCACCACTGTTTGCAAAATCTTCTACATTCTACAATCCCTGTATTTATGTGGCTGCTAATAAAAGGTAAGTAATGTCTAAAATACTGGTGAATAAAAAAATGGATACAGAAAGCCAGTGGATTCTGCTCTAAGACTTTCCAGAGGGTAACTGATAGAAATTCACTTAATGTAGCATAACATTATTTAGCTCCTGTAACTGGAGCAGCATCTGTGACTTTCAACACTTAGAGATAATCATAGGCAACCCGAGACCCCAGTCCTACCCACTAAGCATCTTCAAATGCAAAGCCTCGGGGGCCGGCACTGTGGCTCACTTGGTTAATCCTCCACCTGTGGCACTGGCATCCCATATGGACGCTGGGTTCTAGTCCCAGTTGCTCCTCTTCCAGGCCAGCTCTCTGCTGTGGCCCGGGAGGGCAGTGGAGGATGGCCCAAGTGCTTGGGCCCTGCACCCACATGGGAGACCAGGAGGAAGCACCTGGCTCCTGGCTTCGGATTGGCGCAGTGCGCCAGCCATAGCGGCCATTTTGGGGTGAACCAATGGAAAGGAGGACCTTTCTCTCTGTCTCTCTCTCTCACTGTCTATAACTCTACCTATCAAATAAAAAAATTGCAAAGCCCCTGGAAGAGATTTTACAATACCCAAATACAGAGAGTGGTAGATTCCAAAGAAAAGGGTGATTCTTCTACCAGAAAATGTCCAAGTCAATGTTGGGCTCCCTTAGTGGAAAACATAGTTTATACTTACCAGAAAGATGACATTGTCATTCCCATGCAAGGAGAACACTCCAGCGTGGAGCTGCAAGAGGTAAGTAGTCATTCCTTCTGCTCTGGGACTTTCAGCAGAGAATGCCTTTCCTGTTTCCTCAGTGAAATTTAGATGATTATATTTCCTGGTACTGCAGAGAGATGGAATGAACAGACCTACTGTACTTAAATCTCTGGCTAGAAACTCTTACTAGAGGTTAGGTAATTTGATCCTGGAGTGCACATGCTACTTCCATGAAGCTTATATATTTATGCCCATTTTTGAGATAACAGCTTTAACCATATCTGTGTGAAGCACTGGAAAGATTTTAAGCCCACCCAAGAAGAATAAAGAACACATCTTTTAAAAAATTAGAAAATGTGTATTTTCATCTACTCGAAAGGCAAAGTAAACACATATACAGAAATCTTCCACCTGCTGGTTCACCCTCCAAATGCCTGCAACAGATGGGACTGGGCCAGACTGTGCTAGGAGTTGGGCACTCCATCTGGATCTTTTATGTGGGAGGCAGGGACCCAAGAACTTGCACCTCCCAGGATGTGCATGAACAGGAAGCTGGATAGGAAGCAGAGGTGCCAGGACATGAACCAGCCCTGATATGGGATGTGGATGTCTCAAATGGTGGCTTAACACACTGCTCCACAACGCCCACCCCAAGAACTGTTTTAATTCCAACTGCTGGTAGTGCTTTTTAAAAGATCCTTCTAAGTCCCTTTAATTTCTTTTTTTTTTCTTTAAAGATTGATTTATTTTAAAAGTCAGAGTTACAGAGAGAGAGGGAGAGACAGAGAAATCTTCCATCCTCTGGTTCACTCCCCAGACGGGTACTACAGCCAGATCTCAGCCAGGCCAAAGCAGGAGCTTCCTGCGGGTCTCCCATGTGGGTGGCGGGGCCCAAACACTTCCACTGCTTCTCCTAGGCTATTAACAGGGAGCTGGATCGGAAGCGGAGTGGCTGGGACATGCCCTGATGCTCATATGAAATGCTGGCAGCACATGTAGCCATTTACCTGGACACAACGCCAGCCCCGCCCCTTAATTTCAATGGTGGTTGCTCAGAAGAATAGATGCATGAAACACCTATCCTTAGCTCAAATAACTCATTGCAGTTGATATTGGAAGTGTCTATTTATTTATTTATTTTTATTTGAAAGAGCAACACAGACAGAGAAGGAGAGGCAGAGAGAGAGAGAGGTCTTTCATCCGCTAGTTCACTCTCCAATTGGCCACAACGGCCGGAGCTGGGTCGATCCGAAGCCAGGAGCCATGAGCTTCTTCCAGGTCTCCCACATGGGTGCAGGGGTCCAAGGACTTGGGCCATCCTCCACTGCTTTCCCAGGCCACAGCAAAGAGCTGGATCGGAACTGGAGCAGCTGGGACTTGAACCGGCGCCCATATGGGATGCTGGCACTGCAGGCAGCAGCTTTACCTGCTATGCCACAGTGCTGGCCCCTGGAAGTGTCATTTAAAACATGCATTAATGACTGAATTACATTACTGTTTTCAATGTTTATAATCAATGGTGTAAAATTGGTCAATAACTGTATCATATACCCTATATATTTATAATGGCTCTCAACAGGGGTTGTTAAAGTTGGAGGCAGAAATTTATTTGGGTATGTCAACTGGCAAAAAGGCACCTTAGCTATATATAAAAATGCTAAAAAACCCAAGTCATTGTAGGATAATTTCAGGTTTTTCCTTTTTTTTTTTTTTTAAATCACAGGTTTCGGAGGGCAATGTTTGCCATGTTCAAATGTCAGACTCACCAAGCAATGCCTGTGACAAGTGTTTTGCCAATGGATGTGTCTCAAAACCCATTGCCTTCTGGAATAATCTGAAATGAGAGAAAAACAGAATCAAAACATTTTTTGTAATACTTTAATTTTGTTTTAAATATGAGCTAATTTAGATCAAATGCAGACATACGTTATTTCTTACTGGACTCCTAGTTCTTCAGATGTAGCTTATCGTTCTTCTACTAGCATACTGACTGCTGTAGTGCATGTTTCTCTGTTTCTTTGTATGTAAATTTATTGCTTGACTCTTTTAATGAATTCAGAAACGTGAGATTCGAGTCTTCTTTCTTTGTCCCTATCAGGGCATACATTACACTGTGTTGATGATCTATAATTTTCTGGGATCCTTCATTAGACTAGACATGGCCACTATTTTAATGGTGGAATAAATTAATAATAATAATAATTAATTATATTCAATAAATAATTAATTAAATGAGTTGTTAGATGCTCCCAGCTAGAAAACATTTTTAGCCTTTCAAAACTTTTATATTTTATAGCAATTAACTTATGTTTTATTTAACAAAAATGATTGAATAACACTAAATACTACCACTTCTAAATCACATCAGTCATTACAATATATATTTTACATAGCAATATAATCTCTGTACAATTTGTTATGTTTTCTGAAATCTTAACTATTATTTTTCTGTATGTGTATTTCTCATATTTACTACTAAAATTAAATTCAATCAGAGCAGGGATTTTTATATCTTTGTTCTTTGATATACCCTTGGCATATGGACCCATTTTTTCCAACACATAGTAGACACTCAATGAATATTTGTTGAACATTGTGTATTTGTCATTTTAAATAACCATTTAGAATTATATATGATTATTTGAATAGTGGACGTTTAAGTTCTTTCTAATGTTTGGTTTCATGGAGGAAACACCGGTAATAGTTAGGCACAAATATCCTTTTTCTTTGGGGTTATTCTTTTTTTCCTTTTTTCTTTTTAAAAATTATTTATTTGAGAGAGAGGGAGAGCCAGAGAAAGAGAAGTCTTCCATCCACTAGTTCACTCCCCAAATGGCCACAATGGCCAGGGCTGGGCCAGGCCAAAGCCAGGAGCCTGTAACTCCATCTGGGTCTCCCACATGGGATGTAGGGATCTAAACACTTAGATCATTTTCCACTACTATCCCAGGCTTGTTATCAGGGAGCTGGATTGGAAGAGTAGCAGTTGGGACTTAAACTGGTGATCATATAGGATACCAGTGTTGCAGATGCTGGTTTAGCTTGCTCTGCCACAGTGCTGATCCTGGGAGAGATATTCTGTATGAGTATTTTTTTAGACTAGCATTATTAGATATAAATATAAAAACAGTTTTGCTGCCTGTAACTTGTGAAGCTGGCTTGAAATAAAATGTATTCTTGAATAGAGATAATTGTCTGCATTTAAAAATAAATATGCTAGGGGCCAGTGTTATGACATTTGGGTAAAGCTGATGCTTGCAGAGCCAGAATCCCATATGGGTGCCAGTTCTAGTCCCAGCTGCTCCTCTTCCCATCCAGCTGCCTGCTATGGCCTGGGAAAGCAGAAGAAAATGGCCCAAGTCCTTGGGCCCCTGCACCCATGTGGGAGACCCGGCTTTGGATTGGCACAGCTCTGGCCGTTGCAGCCAATTGGAGAGTGAACCAGCGGATGAAAGACCTCTTTCTCTCTGCCTCTGCCTCTCTCTAACTTTGCCTTTCAAATAAATAAATAAATCTTTAAAAAAATAAATATGCTAGGCTAAACCTTACATGCACTGAGAGGATCTAGTAGAGTCTCAGAGTGTACTCCCTCTGGAGTCTTCCCTGCCACACAGTGGTGGGCTGGAGTCTTTTCCCCCAAAATGTATGACCTGGACTTGGTTTAATTTTCTTTCAGAGATAACAAGTCTGCAGTAACATTGATAAATCTATTCTAAATCAATTTTGTCCTGTGCTTCTATATTTAAAACTGAAATTTATAAAACCGAATGTTATACATGCTGAAAAAAAGAAAATGCAAATGTAGAATCTACAATGCTATGCCATGTAAATAATCTACCAAGGCAGAGTTATTTTTAACAGTAAGGATATTTTTAAGGTGTAGTGATAATTACATTCATAGAAGGAATTTCATAGGCATTTCTTTGCACATCCAGATATGGGCAGCTACTGAAATTATCCTGACATGCGCTTGATTTTCATTTTCCTTAGAATGTGTTACTTTGCTGAACCCATATTCAAAGGCTGAGTCGATTGATCCTCTGCAAGATACACTTGAAGGTTAAGTAACTACAGATCTCAGTTAATCCCACGTAATCTGCTGTTACTAAATGGCTGTTTGCATTCCTGGCACACCAGTTTCTGAATGCCGAGGGTTTGGTTTTTACCTTTTGTTCAAATAACCTCTAAAAGGAGCAATGAGTTTCTTTGCATGCCTGTGCATTGTGCTTCGCTTTTTGGAAAGTGTGAGTTCTTCGTGTCCCTCACAGTGCACCTGCGATTATCATGGCAGAAATGACGGCTCGGGAGCAAGGTATGCACCTCACTCTACTGCTAAAGGTTCTAATTATTCTGGCATAAAGCGCACAAACAAGGTAGCCTTATTTTGAGAGCAAATTAATTATCAGAAATCGGCGAAGAGGTTTAATTTAAATAAGGTTCAATTTAATTGGGTTAATACTACTTGCCCATGGCCTTATTTTCATTTGAGTAGCTTAACTTTTAAGCATCAGTAATTATTTGGAACTCCCAAAGACATCCTGTGTTTCATAAATATTCATTAGGCTCATATCCACAAAATATGCCTTTCGGGAGGTTAATCTATTTAAATGTTTTTGGCCAGCTCAGTTCATGGTTACAACAGCAGAAAAGGTCAGAGCTTGTCCAGATCATCTGCTGTCTGGATTTTTTATTTCACTTGAGGTTTATCTTTGCTAACAGAATTGAGGAGCGCAAGATTGCAAGAGTGAAATTAGATTCATAAGGGAAATTTTTATTTTAAACTGACCCTATTTCCTAAGTGAAGAAGCTCGAAAAATACTTTCTGTTGCTGACCCTGTAGGGCCTCACAGATGTTATTTAATCTCCAGGTTGCTTCAACATTTATCTTATATCTTATATCTTATAATGTGCAAGAGTCCTTTTAGGCATAAGAAGAGTAGGACAGAGTTCTAGTTAGGTATACATGGTAGACCTTGATTTTTTTTGGAGAGCAGGAGAGCATATTTAATAATAAAATATGATTATTTGTAATTTGGTTGAAGTAAGCAGTGAGTCTCCTAAACAAAGTGATTTGTTAGAATAGCTCAAGTCATGCCTTACAACTTTGACCAAGAAATAATAACTGAAGTATATTTCTAAGTAGTTTATCTTATTGTTATCTAAATTTTAAGACACCAAGAGCATCTATAAAATGAAAGGCCAACTGGCCAGGGATGTGCAGCAGTTAAGGATCAGCCCTGGGGGCCAGTGCTGTGGCCTAGCAGGCTGAGAAGATGCCTGTGGTGCCGGCATCCCATGTGGCCGCTGGTTTGACTCCTAGCTGCTCCACTTCCGATCCAGCTCTCTGCTGATGGCCTGGGAAAACAGTGAAAGATGGCCCAAGTGCGTGGGGACTTGCACCCACCTGGGAAATTTGGATGAAGCTCCTGGCTCCTGGCATCATTTGGGGAGTGAACTGGTGGATATAAGATCCCTGTCTCTCCCCCCCCCTCTCTCTCTGGGACTCTGTCTTTCAAATAAATAAAATAAATCTTAAAATAAATAGATATATCTGGTCTGGGAGCTCTAGAGGAAACCATCACAGAAATGTTTTCTTCATGATTGGCTCCATGATTGATGGATTTTTAGGCCTGGGAAGAACTCCAGAATTAATCTGGTTGAACCCTTGTCAGTTTACAAATGAAGAAACTCCAGAGACTAAATGGTTTGGCCCAGGTCACACAGTTGTGATCTGCAGTGACTGAGTAGTCAACGTGCCAGATCTTCCAGCTTCCAACTTGGGCTCTTTTGTGTTACAGCACCCTGAGATGCTTACCTGGTGAGTTGTAACTGCTATTGTTCTGGCGCACAGTAGCTCTAGAGTTTGTGATACAAAATAAAGATGGAGAATAACATGCAGCCCTAAAGAATTCCAGTGATTCCATGGTAACTCTAAAATTATAGCAAGAAGATGCTGCTATTAGGACAAGATAGCTGTGAGTGATTTGCATTTGTCTACATTATGGGCTGGCTTTTAAAATTCACTGATACCTTGGGCCAGCATTGTGGTGTAGCCAGTAAAGCCATCCCATATGGGTACCAGATCCTGTCCCAGCTGCTCCACTTTGATCCAGCTCCCTGCTAATGGCCTGGGAAAAGCAGCAGAAGATGGTGCAAATGCTTGGGCCCCTGTGACCCACATGAGAGACCCGGATGAAGCTGTGTTTCAACCTAGCCCAGTCATGGCTGTCTCAGTCATCTGAGGAGTGAGCCAGCAGATGGAAGACCTCTCTTTTTCTCTCTCTGTCACTTTGACTTTCAAAATAATTAAATCAATTTAGAAAATCACTGATACAGGGTTGGCATTGTGACACAGCAGGTTAAGGTGCTGCCTGGGATACTCACATCTCATATGGGCTCTCGTTCAAGTCTCTGCTGCTCAACTTTCCATCCAGCTCCCTGCTATTGCACCTGGGAAAGCGCTGGAAGATGGCCCAAGTGCTTGGGCCCCTGCCACCCCTGTGGGAGACCTAGATGGAGTTCCTGGCTCCTGGGTTTGGCCTGATCCAGACCTGCCTTTTGCAGAAGTGAACCAGAGGATGGAAGATTTCTTTATCTGTCTCTCTCACTTTTCTCTTTCAAATAAATGAATAAATAAATCTTAGAAAATTAATGTGATGTGTTTTATTGACTAGTCATCTTACTGTTACTATTCACTAAATGTGTAATATATTATCTAAACTTTGCAAAACTTTTTATTTTTCATTTTCAGCAATTCAGATGAGTATATTATAGAAGATAAAATATTTGTTTCAGCCTAAAATGTATCTAAATTATCAGTTTCTCATATTTTAAAACTTTATTTTCAACACTCCATCTTTGAATTTAAATGAAAATCTATCTAATTTATTTGAAAGGGAGAGAGAGGGAGAAACAGAGAGATCTATCTTCCACCCATTGATTCACTCCCAAATGCCTGGGGTTTGGCCAGGCTGAAGCCAGGAAATGGAAACTCAATCTGGGCCTCACGCATGGGTGAGCCATCCCTATTGCTTCCTGGGTGTGCATTAGGAGGAAGCTGGAATAAAAAACAGAGCTGGAAACTTAGGGTCTCTGATATGGAATGTCCCAAGCAGGATCTTACCCACAGTGCCAAATGCCTGTCCCAGATTCCTCATATTCTAAACCCATGCATGGGACAGGCTTGTTTTTCTATGCCTGTTTTCCACATGCCAACAAACTGGATCACAAGGTGACTTGCTTAAGGTCACTTAAGTTAGTGAGTGTTAAAGGGAATAAACCTGCAGTTTCTGGTTTATTCTCGAGGCAGAAAATCATGCACAAGTTATGTTGCTAAAAACAGAGCTCAACTTTAAATATCTAGTGCAAATATTTTCTTTTTTAAAACAAAATGATCTTATTAAAGAGGTTCAATTTATGATGTTAACAGGTGGTTATTTTAAGACAGGCCAGTTCCTCAACGGATACACTTTGGAACTGGGTACAGGTGGGTTTGAAAGGTTGCTCTGAAACCAGCTGGCTGGATGACCTTGGGAGGTTACCTAATGTTGGTGGGTCTCAGTTATTTTAGATGTAAACCCGAGGTTGTTGATAATAGCAGCAAATGCCTATTAAGTGCTTATGTGTCAGGAAGGTGTAAACATTTTATATTTAATTAATCATCACAGCAATATCATGTGGGATGAATCTTTAGGGACTGGTCAAGTGGTTTTCTATGACCAGAGAGGAGGTGGCCAACTTAGGTTTGAAACCAGATCAGCCTGACTATAGTCTACTGCAGGTGCTTTTCCCTATGACCCAATCTCTACCCCATATAGTTGTTGTGATGATTAAGTAAGGTAACGGCTGTACCCTGCATTGCCTGTAGGTAAAGAACTCCGTAAGTATTAGGTTGCACCATACGAAATTGCTGATATTTGATTATGTTTTACTAAAAATAAATAGCCATTTCAAATGGGTCAGTCTAATTGTAGAGGCTGTCATGATGATGACAATGGAGACAAAGATGATGTGTCATTAATAAACATGGTAGCTAAGGTTGAAAGCACTTTTTGTGAAAATCAATAGTGAGTGAAGAATTGATATATTTCAAACAAGGCTTTTCTTGTTGGTGTTGTTTGTTGTTTTTGCTTTTTAATGCATCTCCTTGCATCGCTCTTGTGACACCAGGTTGGTGCTATGTAATGACCTGGACATGAATGAGGTCCCTACAAACTTCCCTGTGGACACTGTGAAGCTGCGCATAGAGAAGACAGTCATCCGTGGCATCCCTGCCGAGGCCTTCTACTACCTGGTGGACCTCCAGTACCTCTGGGTGACTTACAATTCTGTGGCCAGCGTAGACTCAAGGAGCTTTTACAACCTCAAGCAACTGCATGAGTTGCGCCTGGATGGAAATTCTTTAGCTTCTTTCCCTTGGACATCTCTTCTGGATATGCCCCATCTGAGGACCCTGGATTTGCACAACAATAGAATAACCAGTGTGCCAACCGAGGCAGTCAAGTATCTGAAGAGCCTCGCCTACTTGGATTTATCAAGCAACAGACTAACCACGTTGCCACCAGATTTCCTGGAGAGTTGGTCCCACTTGGTAACAACACCTTCTGAAAATCCAGACCTTTCACCAAGAAGAATTATTCTCGGTAAACTCATGAGCCTCTAGGATTTTCATGTAGTCATACATTGTTATGTCTTCCTTCGGTTGTCCAGTCTTTTAAGATCTATTGGATTTGTTTTCTTACTCTGCATTTGCACATTTAAAAAAATTATTTATTTTCATTTTATTTGAGAGGGAAGGGGAGAGGGGAGATCTTTTTTTTTTTTCTCTTTTTAAGATTTATTTAATTGAAGGACAGAGTTACAGAGACAGACAGAGAGCAAGCTTCCATCTGCTGGTTCACTCCCCACATGGCTACAACAGCCAGGCCTGGGCCAGGCCAAAGACAGGAGCTAGGAGCTTCTTCCCAGTCTCCCATGTGGGTGCAGGGGCCCTAGCACATGGGCTATTTTCCACAGCTTTCCCAGGCACATTAGCAGGGAGCTGGATTGAAAGTGGAGCAGTAGGGACTCAAACTGGCACCCATGTGGGATGCTGGCACTGCAGGCAGCAGTTTAACCTGTAGCACAAATGCCAACCCCACATTTGTGAAGAGTACCTTATCAGTTAACCTATGTGAAGTTAGCTGTTTCCCCTGTGTAAGATCTAACAGTTATGTTTGTGTGTGCACATGTGTGTGTGCTTGTGGGGAGGGGCTTGGGAGAACTAGCCTCAGACACTGAGACACGAGACACATGGCACACAGAGGGCCTCCAGCTGAGTGACAGAGTCCTCCAGCACGCCCTGATGCTTGTGAGTACACCATCGCTCTGTATCCTGCCACAGTCCACTTCCTCTGTTCAGTGTTCAAGTCGTCATCTCGTTCTTCAGGAATGGGAGGGGGCATTGGCATCTTTAGGAACTGGCAGTGGTTTAATTCGTTAGGAAACAAATGTTCCAGATTGTCTTAATCTAAGAAAAAATGGAGGAGACACCAGTTATTTTACTGGCTCCGTATGGGTCTTCTCATAGATTCAAGCTCTTGGTTTAGCTGTAACTGATTTTGCATATTTTGATCCTGACTCTGTTTCCCTTCCGGGTGTGTTTTTGTTAGGTTCCTAAAATGTCAGCTCTTCCCAGTAAGTCCCTCCCTTCTTTTTTATTTTTGTAGAGACCTGTGGTACTCTGCATGTGCTCTTCACATGGTGAATGAATGTCTGACTGAAAGCAATGAACAGAGACCCCAATATCTCTGGGCAGTGAATTTCTTTTATACTTCAGTATGACACAGAAGCCTGAAGCTTTGGTTGATCAGTTTGGTACTAAAATTTTGTCGTCCTTTCCTCCTAATAAGGCTGTACTGTTGACTCCCCACTTGTGTCCATCACAGCTACAGAAGATGTTGCATTTTTCAGGAGAGTGAAAGAACTTCTGGGTCTTTGGCCAGTGAAACAACTTTTAAGCCTTTTGGAGCAAGAGGTGACTTAGATGTTACATTTGTGTCTGTCTAACCCATATCACATCCTCAAATAGTTGCCGAGTATAAATTAAACAAAAGATATATTTGAGGTTTTGGGGGGTAAAAATGAAAATGCTATGGTGGCATTGACATGACTTTAGCATTGCTGTTGCTGAAATGTAACTGTGTTTGGTGCTTATGACTGAGAATAAGGGTGAAAAGAACCAAATGGATGGAAGAATACTCGTGTAAGCTTTTCTTATTTTTCTTTTTTTAAATTTTATTTAATGAACATAAATTTCCAAAGTACAGCTTATGGATTACAATAGCTCCCCCCCCCCCATAAGCTTTTCTTATTTTGCATTTCATGTTTTACCCACTGTTTATGTAGTCTTGCAAATGTCAAACTTTTTTGATTAGAGAATAAAATAATTATTGCAGGATGGGTTAAAAAAAGCACAATAATTTAACAGATATTTGAGAAGGCTGTACACTGGTAAACACCATGTCAACTCCTACTGCAGTATTTTTTTTTTTTTTAAAGAAAATATTTATTTACTTGAGAGGCAAGAAGAGAGAGAGACAGTTCCTGTCAATTGGTTCATGCCTCAAATACCCACATCAGCTGGGGCTGGGCCAGGTGAAGTCAGGAGCTGGGAACCTAATCCAAGTCTTCCATATGAGTAACAGTAACTGATTCACTTGAGCCATCCCTGCTGGCCTCCCAGGGCCCACGTTGGCAGGAAGCTGGAGTCAGAAGCCAGAGACTGAAACTGAACCTCAGTACTCCAATATGGGATATGGGCAATTTAACTGCTCGGCCAAATGCTCACTCCTTACTTTATTTGATCCTTACAAGTAAGGCAAACAGCTAGAAATTGTCTTAATTTAAGCAGTGAGATTATATTTCTCTGCTTCTTGGAAAGTAATTATATTTCTAAGTTTCTTGGAAAGTAATTCTTGGCTTTAATAGAATTACCCAAAGAAAAGATATAAAGTAGAATATAAAACTCAGTTACTAAATTGCTATTACTATCTGTCTAATGATTAGTTGTTAACATTACTATGAAGAAAAAATTTGCATAACAATATTTTCCTTTGGGAGTTAAATCTTGAAGAGAATTTAGAGATCAAGTGGAAAGGGCTATTATATTTCAGTATCCATGAAGAGTTATCCAAGCATCTTCATATGCATTTTAGGACCTGGGTTCTTTAAAAGTATAATGTGAAGGCCGGCGCCGCGGCTCACTAGGCTAATCCTCCGCCTAGCGGAGCCGGCACACCGGGTTCTAGTCCCGGTTGCCCCTCTTCCAGGCCAGCCCTCTGCTGTGGCCAGGGAGTGCAGTGGAGGATGGCCCAAGTGCTTGGGCCCTGCACCCCATGGGAGACCAGGAAAAGCACCTGGCTCCTGGCTCCTGCCATCGGATCAGCGCGGTGCGCCGGCCGCAGCGCGCCGGCCGTGGCGGTCATTGGAGGGTGAACCAACGGCAAAGGAAGACCTTTCTCTCTGTCTCTCTCTCTCACTATCCACTCTGCCTGTCCAAAAAAAAAAAAAAAAAAAGTATAATGTGAAAACATGTTAGACAAAATACTAAACTTAAAAAGCAGGTGTGTAATTGTGTATAAAGCATTATCATAGCTATTTAAAAGGTGCAAAGAAAGAGACTGAAAAATACATTAACTGGCTAACTTATTTTTGGGTGGTGGGGCATCTTTTCATCTTTTAGAATAGTTTTGAGATGATCTGTGGTGATCATGATAGTTTCTTTTTTGTTTTTATCAAAGAAAAGAAAATTTTCAGTTTTGTTAAAGGTTTTGACAATGAAGACTTCAGAAAATGTTATTAAATTCTATCTGATATATAGTAATCATCTATTTCCAAGTAGAAGAAAAATATGCTAACCATTTTGACATGTAAAATAATTCTGAATTCTTACTACAAAATGATTTATCTAAAATATGAAGTATCTTTGCACTAAAACTGACAATGTATATTAAGTAACTTGTATGATTTCAGAAATGTCTCCTGAATGCAACGGGAATGTTTCCTGTGGCCAGATAAACTCTAAACTTAAGGTGTCATAAACTTGACAAAGCCAGAAAAGAACACCACATTGCTTGAATAGCATGTGGCAGGGACTTCCTGTCACAATGACAACCACCCAATGACAATGACTTATGATGCCAAAGGAAGACAGAGCATGCCTTTCAAAGGAAAATGGCGTGAGAAGATAATTCTTACAAACAAATCAGTTACCGAAGTCATCAAGAAGAGTGAACAGATTCACCAAGTGAAATGGGTAGAGACCATTTTGATGACATGACATGTTGCATATTACATTGCCCTCCTCAAATACAAAATACAAGCAGAAGCCAAACATAAACATAAACATATTTGCAAAACTGATCCTCGCAACCAAACATTTCTTTGCTACCACCCGCAGTTATTAATGACACTTGGAAACAAGGGTTTATAACTCATGCTAATCTGGACTAGCCAAGGTGGATCTTTGCTACCACCCGCAGTTATTAATGACACTTGGAAGCAAGGGTTTATAATTCATGCTAATCTGGACTAGCCAAGGTGGATTTGGACTCTGATTGGGAGACAAAACAGTTACTCCTGCCAGGGAGCTGACTGGGAGGACCCACTGAAGCTTCCTGCTCAGAGTTGAAGGACTGTGTATTTGTAATGATTTCCTAGTGGCCTCTAAATTAAGATCAATCTTTCTTGATGTGGACAGTGGTTCTGATCTGACCGCAGATGGATCAGAGTCCGCTGAACTCACCAAAGCACTATATTTGCATTTTGATTTCTTCTTCCTTTCTACTGAGGATTTTACCTTCACTTCTTTCTTTTTTATTTTTTTTAACTTTACTTTTTCTCATAGCAAAAGGCTTCATCATCATCTTCACTCTCTCCACGATGAGAACCATCTGCAGAATCTTCACTGGTTGCAAAATCTGGCTCAGTGTCGTTAGAGTTGTTGCCGTCACTTCCTTTCAGCAGAATCTTCCTCTGCTGCAGTCCAGGTGGAGATGCTGTGTTTGTTTCCCATCAGCCCCATGAGAACCGTCTTCCTATCTTCCTCAGTGATTCCATTCACATCTAGATAATCCCTGACCTCACTGCGATTAGAGATCTGAGGAGATACTTCATTTCTGTTTCACTACTGCCGTGGTTTTCCGTGCTTTTCTGTTGACACTTCTGCATGTCCGTGCTGACTGCTGAAGCTCCTTCACTGATACAGCAGGTGCAACTTCTGCATCTCTCTAGTAGAGCTTGTCCCCTAAAGCCATCCTTTTGGGGTTTTCTCTTGGACTTTGGCGTCTTCTTTCTAGAAATACTTCAAGTTAGATTTTTGTTTGTCTTGTTCGAACTCCACTGGTGTTGTTCTGGGTTTATAGTTTAGAGGTACAGTTGTAAAGACAAAATTATCGCTGTTACAGTCCTCAAACTGCAAGCAATTGACTGGTTTCCTATGGTTCTCCTTGTCTACAAGCAAAATGAAGCAAGTTCTCCTTTAGGCCTGACCTCAGAGGGCAGCATTTCTCCCCCCCACCCACCTCTTTTTTTTTTTTTTTTTATTAAGATTTATTTATTTATTTAAAAGTCAGAGAGAGAGTTACAGAGAGGCAGGGGCAGA